ACTTTGAAAACTGAATATTGTATATGTCACTTAAATTCTTTAACTTTTAAACAAAAATGAAACACCCTGTATATATATGAAAGATAAAAGTTCAAGGCTTAAAGAATGGAAGTATTTACACTTACTTTCAATCCGTATTAGCTGTTTTTATCAATAACTTCTAACATTTTATTGTCACATGTATTACATATATATGTATGCATTCTACACTAACGTATCACCGACTCACATCAACTATCGTTAATGGCTTAGCGAGACCTCCGGCATCGATCGCAATCACATTGACACGGCTTCGATACTTTTCGGAATTTAACGATTCAAATATCGAGAATTGTCGATACCCACTAGTTACAGAATAACCTTTTGCGATTATCATCGATATCGATAGTTAACGATAACGATTTTTGTCGTTAAAGAGTTACAGAATCCCGGCACTGGAGAGAGCATTAGACGATCGAGCGTTAACCGCGATGGCCTATGTACCGGAAGCAAAATTCTGGGCGGGAAATTTTGAAATGGTCATAGGCGTAATTTGTTGGTTCCCAATCTGGGTGATCAACAAATTGTATCCATTTCTTCCGTCTTTCCGGATCTTTGGAAACCTGAAGGAATATTTTGTTACAAAGTTTTATCATTTTTAAACGTCAAATCATTTGTTTAGAACATAACGCTCTACATAAGCATAAAAAAGGCATCTGAAAGCAGCGTTTCCGAAGCATTGTTAATTTTATTTACTTACATGTGAAAAGTTATAGATATATTTTTGGATTTCGATTTTGATCGACCACAAATTTTGCAACTACCCATTTTTAAAATAATTACAATATAAAAGGTCTGTTCTTTTTAGCTGAACTGGCTGCACTAGTTCAGAGTTTATCTTTCTCCTTTCAATGTAGAGGGAAAAAGATAAACTCTGAACTAGTGTAGCCAGTTCAGTTAAAAAAAACAGACCTAAAGTCAATTTGGGTTCACTCATGTGTCAAGTGTCAATACATGGAGGCAGCCATATTAGTTTTTCTGCCCGACGATAGCGCACCATGCGTTAAATCTGTGCGAAAAGTGGCCTGTATTTCGTCACATCCGTTACACTACCAAGCATTATCTTCATTATTTAAGGGGATGCTGGAGTTACCGGCCGGACATTATATTTTTTCAAACAAGAATATCTTTTTATTGGTTGCATAGAATTGTAAATCCTTTTGCAGGAGTAAAGTGTACACAAAAACGGAATTCGGGCTGCTCGACTTTATTTGGAAAAAAAGAATTAATAACAAAATTTGTTTCTATTTATTAATTTCTATTCTGCTCTTAGGATAACATATTGTATAGAGCTATTTATTTTTCGTTTTTTATAAAAGTTTAACAGTTTTAAGACGCTGAATAAGAGCAGCCCGAATTGCGGACTGCAGAATAGAATGTTATGTAACCATTAAAATTGGGCTGAAAAGTCTAATGTAAAAAATATTCTTGTCCGACTATTTTTACATACGTGTGCGTCTAATATCGGTATAACAGATGAAAAAATAACAGAAAATTAGTTCCAGGATAATATCAGAGAGGCGCTATACAATAATATGCGAATATATACACGCACCACACATACGCATACACAATACATTCATACTTAGATTATGACTTATGCCGATAATATCACTCTCTATTTTTAGTTCCATCGAAATGATGGCGCTTTCGCGTCGGAGTTCGTCAGGCACTCCAGCATCCTCTTAATGCTCTCTCCAGGTCCTCCATGGCCGACACAGAGTTGCGCTACTGTATATACTGTACAATAGAGTTAGAAACGCGACATCTAGTGACCGAAGAAGTTGACATAACTAAAAAAAAAATATATTTAACCTAAATTAACAGGTCGCTTTCAGTATTGTCAGTATTAATTATTTTATTGTAACTTTTTACGTCATTTTTCTCAACACACTCATTATTAATTTTTAATTTTTTAAATTTTCGATGCTTTTTTAGTCTATAATAATTTTGCGACATATTTAATAATAAAATGATAATCACGACGATGAGCTAAGTATAATCACCGACAAGGTTATGTCAAGTTGTGGAAATCAATGGTATCCAGTATACGCCAGACATGGTCCAGAATAGAATACCAAGTATTGGCCAATTATTGGCTACCATATATCGGGCTAAGTATTGGTGCTATTGCAAAGACTGGCATTCCTATATGGGGGCTTTGATCCTCTCTAATTGACAGCAAAACTACCTCACGGACGGAATCTGTTAAACTTTTGTTTGAGAAGTTTACTCCCAATGACAGTATAGCTGAAGAAACTGAAAATCATAGGCTAATAAGAGCTCGGAATAAATAATACGTTAATTATAATTTGAAACCAAATATCACCATACATAACGCTATTCAGAGAATTAAGGATAAGAAAGCTCCTGACTTGGATGGCTTCAATCCGAAAATAGTTAAGGTCTTGTGGAGCTGTAATAAAGATATTTTTAATGTTCTCTATTATAGACGTATTAGTGATTCTTATTTTCCAAAACAGTAGAAAACTGTAGATATTAAAATTATACCTAAAAGCCCGGAAGTTAACAGAGAGGCTGTCAATGCATATAGACCGATTGCTTTTTTGCCAGTATTTAGTAAAATATTTGAAAGAATTATTATTAATCGTATGCTAGATAATTATCAAGAAATAGATTTAAAAAATCACAATCAATTTAGCTTCAAAAAAGGGTTCTCGACTAAGGACGCATTGATGGCTTTCAAGCATGGTATTAATTCTACAGAGAAAAAGTATGTGGTTACCGTATTTGTGGATATATACAGAACAACTTTTGACAACTGTAGATTCTCGGTGTCGTTGCGCGTTTAACTCAGGCAAGATGCAGTTCAAATTTAATTGAGATTATTAAAAGTTATTTTATCAAACGTAAAATGTAGGTTAATAACAAGTTTGACACATACACCAGTGTAGTGCAGAGAGGATGTCCACAGGAATCTTTAATTAGTCCTTTAGCATTGTAAAATAGCTCATTGAGTATGCACGAGGTGGTTGTCAGGATCCGAAGGAGATTGAACTTCACAATGAGGGACGGAGGGATGACAGAGCTAAGAACCGTATTTCACAGAAAACTCATAACTTTATTCTAATATAATGTTATCCGTGTCACGGACGGAGACCAAAAAGGCCTCGAACCCAGCATGCCGATGTTCACATGTCCCCAACCGCTACATCGGCATGAGCCAATCAGATTGCAACGCGCTAGCGCTTTCTCGTAGCGCAGCAACGACCTATCGCACGCATGGCAACTGCAGCGCGTGCAGTATACAATGTTAGAAAGAGAGAGACTCATTCAACTAAAGAAAGAAAATAAT